GGAACACAGAACAAGAGAAATTATACTGGGAAAAAAAATTATGAACAAAGCCTCAAAAACTATGGAAATACAACAAAATATCTAACATTTGTGTCACTGTAGTTCTGGAAGAAGTGAAGGTAGTCAGGGATGAAAAAGTATTAGAAGAGTTAATGGCTGAAAACTCCCCAAATTTGGCAAAAGATATAAACCTACAGATTCAAAGAGCTTGAGTGTATGTCAAACATGATAAACCCACTGAAATCCATGTCAAATCATTAAAATTAATCTCTATAATCTAAAAATGAAGAAAACATCTTGAAAGCGGCCAATGAAAACCAACACATTTTCTTATAGGGAAGAACTACTGGAATGGTAGTGGATGTCTTCTCAGAAACCACAGAGGTTAGATGGAAGTGGTGTGATGTTCTTCAGGTGCTGAAAGAAATTGTCAACCCCAAATCCTGTACCAAATGAAAATATCTTTCAGGAATTGAAGGGAAACTCAGGACATTCTCAAATGAAGGAAAACTGAGAATTTGCTGCTAGCAGAGTGAATAGAGGCAATTTTATGAACAAAAAGGAAACAATAAAAGAGGGAACCTGGGAACATCTGTGTGCAGTAAAGAGTTAACATAATAGGCTTGAGACTGCTATCGTTAGGAAATCCTGCTTGCAAGATTATCCTGTGACTGGTATTGGGATCCTGCATTTCTAGAGGTTTGGCACCATTCCCAGAACTAAGAAGAATGGCTCACTGTGCCTAAAACTATGCAAGCTGTAGGGTTTGTGTTGAACGTGCTTGTCTGACTTAAAAAGTTGGGCAGTGAGCCTTTAATGAGCTTCCTTCTTAGATAACATTTAACACATGTTGTCATAAGTCACTGGTGGAGGATTTAAGTGGGTCACGTGTGACTTCACTGGGAGAGGATTCTTGGAAACTTGTTACTGGTTTCCTTTGGACTTTGTCTCTTGTACGCTATCCCTTTGCTGATTTTGCTTTGTTTCCCTTTGTTATAATTATAGCCAAATGTGCTATGATGAGTCTTATGTGTCCTAGTGAACATCAAACCTGGGGGTGGTCTTGGGAAGTCCTGACACAATCAGAAAGAAAGAAGAAAGAAAACATAGGAAAAATATGGGTAAATATAGGAGGTGAACCTCTTACACATGAATTTTCTAAACTAATTCTGATAATTGAAGCAAAAATTATTATACATTCTGCTATGATTCTAAACATATATAGAGGAAACACTTAAAATTACAGGAAGGGCAAAAGGATGTAATGGGAGGTAAAGCTTCTATACTTCAAACTGGTAAAATGAAGATACCAGTAGACTGATTAGTCATGCATACATAATGTAGTTCCCAGAGCAACTACTAAAAATGCTGTACAAAGAGCCACACAGAAAGCATTGGATAAATCAAAATAGAATTCTAAAAAGAAAAAAACAAAAGTCCAGGTAACCTAAAAGAAGTCAGTAAAAGAAAACCAAGCAAAGGAACAAAGTGATCTAAATACACCAACCAAAAGAGAGAAACTGTCATAATAGAGTAAGAAAAAAAAAAAAAAGCCACAATAAATCCAATATGCTGTCTAAATGAAACTTCAACTATTACAGCATAGGCAGGTTAAAAGGATAAAAAGAAATATCCAAACATTAATCAAAGGAAAGGAGTGGCTATACTAAATTAATAAGGTGGACTTCTGAGCAAGGAAAGTTACCAGACAGAGAGGGTGATAAATGGTCAATTCCAGGAAGACCGTGACCCTGAATATGTATGCCTCACATACAGTTTTGCAGTATGTGAAGAAGAAACCCAAAGAAGAAACAGACAAATCAACAACGGGAGACTTCTAACACCCTTCTCTCAGAGATGGAAAAACTAGACCCCAAATCAGTAAGTGCTTGTCAACACCATCAACCAACAGAATCTAATCTTTATAGAACATTTCACCCCGAAATAGCAGAATACATATTTTCAAATGCTCACAAAAACATATACCATGATAGACATATCCTGGGCCATAAGAAATTTGTTTACCTTAATAAAGAATTGATACCGTATAAGGTATGTTCTGTGACCACAATGGAATCAAACTTGAAGAGGAAGTTGACAAAAAGTCTCTAAACTACACACTTCTGAGTAATTCATGCATCAAAAAGGAAGTTTTAAGGGATGTAAAACATACCTGAAAGAGAATGAAGAGGAAGATAACAATATATCAAAGTATGTGGAGTATAGCTAAAGCAGTCCTGAGAGGAAAACCTGTAGTAGTGGACATGTACGTTAGAAAAGAGGGAAAGTCTCCAATGCGTAAGCTCATGAAACTAGAAAAATAAGAGCTAAATAAACTCAGAAATGAATAGAAGGAAATGATAGTGATAAAGGCAGCAGTCAGTGAAATTGAAAATAAAAATAGAGAAATCAGAGCTGTTCTTTTGAAAATAGTAACACTGAAATAACCTTTAGCAAAACTAAGAAAAAAAAGAGTAGACACAAATTACTGCATCAAGAATGAAAAAAGGATATATGGATATATCTCTACATACTCTGAAACCATCAAAAGACTATCAGCCCACAAATTTCAAAACTTACATGAAAGGAACTGCTTCCTTGAAAAACACAAACTACTGAAAATTGCCCAATATGGAATAATTTGAACAGCTCTATAACTATTAAGGAAGTTTAATTTTCAATCTAAAAATTCCTACAAATGAAATGTATGGGCCCATGTTTTCACTCTGGAATTCTGCCAAATCTTTAAAGAAGACTTAATGCCAATGCTACATGATTTCTTCCAGAAAAAAGAAGAGGAAGAATCAAACACTTCCCAGTTCACTCTATGGAGCAGGTATTATGTTAATACTAAATAATTATACACTATTACCAAGTACAATTTACTTTAGGCATGCAAGACAAGTTCCATATTTGAAACTTAGTGTAATCCACCTATTAACAGACTAAAAAAAGAAAAACCACATGATTATATCAGTTGATATGGTAAAATCGATTATTTGACAGAATACAGTAACCACTGTGGGGGAAAAAAAGTCTTAGGACAAAAGGAACACAGGGGAACTCCTCTACTTGAGTAGGAACATCTACAAAAATATCTGTATCTAACATTTTTTATTGCATATATATATAAAACAAAATTTTTTGTTTTAACCATTTCAGATTTTTAGTAATTTATTTTAGAGAGGGGGCAGAGGGAGGGAGGGAGAGAGAGGGAGAGAGAAAGAGAGAAAGAGAAAGAATACTAAGCAGGCTCCATGCTCAGTGCAGAGTCCAACACGGGCCTTTATCCCATGACTCTGGGATCATGACTTGAGCCAAAATCAAGGGATGGGCCTTTATCACATGACTCTGGGATCATGACCTGAGCCAAAATCAAGGGTCTGACACTCAACTGAGCCACCCAGGTGCCCCTTAACCATTTTTAAATGCACAGTTCAGTGGTAATAAGTACATGCACACTGTTGTGAAACCATTCCTGTTCTCCATCTCCAGCACTGTTTCCTCTTTCCAAACTGAAACTGTGTCCATTAAACATGGACTCCTCATTCCCCACTCCTCCCAGCTCTTGGTAACCTCTATTTTACTTTATGGATTTGCCCATTCTGGGTACCTGCTGTCAGTGGAATCAAACACTTTTTGTCCTTCTTGGACTGGCATATTTCACTTAGCAAAATGTTTTCAAGGCTAATCCTTGATGTTGAATGTTATCAGAATTTCCTTGTTTTTTAAAGCTCATTATATGCCACATATGTGTACACCACATTTTCTTTTTATGTTGATGGCCATTTGAGCTATTGTGAATAATACCATCAGGGACTTGGCTGTACAAGTATATAGGGGTAGATAGCTAGGAGTGGAGTTGCTGGATCATAGGGTCAGTGGTATGTTTAATGTTTTGAGGAACTGCTGGACTCTTCCACAAAAACCACACCGTTTTACATTTCCCATCAGAAATGCACAAATCCACATTCTGCCAGAACTTGTTCTTTCCCTTTTCTTTGGTAGTAGCTATCATAGAGGGTGTGGCATGGCATCTAATATTAATGCTGTGAGACATAATGCTTTCCTCCTCATGTCAAGGAGGAGACATAATGCTTTCCTCAAGTCAAGAATAACGCAAGAATGTCTGCTCTCAATATTCATTCATTATCGTGCTACAAGTTCTGCAATAAAGCAAGAGGAAATAAAATGCATATAGATTATAGACTATAAGGGAAGAAACAATTCTGTTCCTATATGCAGATGCCATGCTTGTCTGTGTAGAAAATCTCAAGGAATCTAGGAGAAAAAAAATCCTAGAACTGAGTTCAGCCAGGCTGTAGGATTTAAGATAAACATAGAAACAACTGTATTTCTGTATCCTAGCAATGAACATAGTGTCACTGAAATTATAAACAATACCATTAAAATCACTTAAAGAGATTTTTAGGTGTCAGTCTAACAAAACATGGATTTGTATGCTGAAAACCACAAAGTGCTGATGGAAGAAATTAATAAATGGGAGAGACATACCATGTTTGTGGATTTGAAGAATCAAATAGTAAAGATGTCAAGTCTCTCCAAATTGATATAAAGGTTTAATGTAGATTTTGTCAAAATTCCAGAACGGGTGTTTGGTAGATAAGATTCTAAAATTTGTATGGAAAGGACATATCTTGGAATAGCCAAGGTAAGTTTTAAAAAGAATAAGGTGGGAGGAATCCGTCTGATTTCAAGACTTACTATGTATATATATATCTACAGTAATCAAAACTGTTTTTGACAGCATCATAGATGTAAGATCAAGACAAGAAAAGACCCATGAGCAATGTGAGAAAGAGATTAATAGTCTTGAACACATGGCACTAGAGTTTGGGTTAAAAGCAGGATCTATGAATCTCACTAGGGTGTTCTACACCAGCCTTCCTTCCTGCCTTGGCCCTAGTTAGTGGCTTAGTTTAGGTTGACTAGTGTATGTGGCTTGCTTCTGGGTAAGCAGGAATGTATTTGTGTTACAGGCATTAATGGCCTTCAGGGATGTGGCTGTGGCCTTCACCCAGAAGGAGTGGAAGCTACTGAGTCCTGCTCAGAGGACCCTGTATCGGGATGTAATGCTGGAGAACTACAGCCACTTGGTGTCGCTGGGTAAGGATGGCTTGTTGCAGGTCTCAGACTGCCTCTGAACATCTTAAGATTTTATGTAGCAGCCATAATGCTTTCAGCTCAAAGAAAAACTGTATTTTCCCTATACCCCTAGAGAATGTTTGGATTCTGTAGAGCTGAAATAGTGAAGCGGTTTGGGGGTGGGGCAGGGGAGCAGTGTGACACTGAATTGCCAGGCCTCTTCTAATGTTGGGCCCTTCCTTCATAGTGATCTTGTGTCAAATTTGGGACCACTGGTATTCAGTTAACCATAGGGGAGAATTAGTGTACTGACTTTAGATCCGGGACTCCCCCCTCCCCTTAGTCATTCTTCCTCAGCACTCAGAGAGCCTTCATGTGCCCCCCTGCCTCCCTGCTCTCTTCTGGGCTATTGCATTCCCCTGCCGGCTCTGCGTTCTGCCATACCTCTTAAACAACTAACCCAGGGTCACCTTGGTTTCTTTCCCTGTGAGTAGGAATTGCCTTTTCCAAACCCCAACTCATCACCCAGCTGGAGCAAGGGGATGAGCCCTGGAGAGAGGAGAGTGAATGTCTTCTGGACCTTTGTCCAGGTGAGTGGGAAGCAGCGGGTAGGTGAGGAGACCGGGCAGTGAGGTGCTTAGCAGATGAGGAAGGAGTGCCTATGAGCTCCTGGGGAGGGCTCTTCTCCAGGCTCCCCTTCCATGCCATTCTCCCCTCCCCTGGGCAGCCTCATTCTGGTGACGTGGTGTCTCTTTTCCAGTTTCAGGATCTCCCTGTTCTTGGGCTTTTGTTGGTTGGCCTGATATTCTGCATAGCACTTGCCCTCTGAGACTAAGTCTGGTGTCTCTGGGAGATGCTTTCCAGTTTTTTGTTCTTAACATGTGAATTTCTTAGTGCACTGGTTTTACCTCATAAATCCCCATAACCTTGCTTCTTTTATGATGGATTAAGATTATAACAGGGTGTGTAGAATTATACGAGTGCGTGTGTGCCTTCCCTGCAGCCTAAGAAATAGATATTAGAAGCCCCTGCACCTTCTTCCCTGGTGTGTCCTGCTCCTCCACCCCACCTGAGAATCCAGTTTGTGCATCAGCATTCTCATGTGCCTTTTTCCTTTCTTCCCCATTCAGTGGGTCCTTCAACCATATAGTGTTGTTTTGCATGTTTGTAAACTTCTCTGCACATAGTATTGTGCTGTATACATCCTTCTGGAACATGCTTTTTCTGGAACCGACTTTGTGAGTATCATGTAAAAATGCATTATCAGTTCCCTTCTTTTGGACATTTATTTCCAATTTTTGGCTATTAAATCATGCTGCTATATATATTCCTGTTACTTCCATAGAAACAAGAATAAGAGTTTTTCTAGCCTAGAGGTTCTTGTCCCACATCCTCACCAATACTAGGTATTGTCAGACTTCTTCCCTTTGCAGTGAATCTCAGAGGAGCTTTGCTTTTCAGGGAGCATGAGTATCTTTTCCTATGTTGTTTGGCCATTCACCTCTTCTGTGATTTGTCTATTCAAGGGGTTTCCCTACTTTGCACTTGGGCTGTTTCAGTTACTGATTTGTAGAAATTCCCTATAAATTCTGGAAACATGTAGGTCTTTAATCCTGTGGGAATTAATTTTATGTGAATGACTGGAGGTAAAAATAAATTTTTTCATCTTTTTTGTTTTCAACATTCCTGGCATTTTATTTCTAAATATAACCATATATCTGGACGTGTACTTTATAGACAAAATAGTGCTTTTATCTTTTTTTTTTTTTTAACTTATTTCTGAGAGAAAGACAGACAGAATGAGCAGGGGAGGGCCAGAGAGAGAGGGAGACACAGAATCTGAAACAGGCTTCAGGCCCTGAGCTTTCAGCACAGAGCCCAACGCGGGGCTCGAACCCATGAACTGTGAAATCACGACCCGAGCTGAAGTTGGACGCTCAACCGACTAAGCCACCCAGGCACCCTTTGTCTTTTTTTTTTTTCTTTTTTAAAGAGGAACTATTATATAAGCTATAATAATGGTATAAAAATATAATAGTTCAGGGATTAACTATAATAAACCACATATATATTTTTTAATTTTAAAATGTTTTTATTTATTTCTGAGAAAGAGAGAGAGAGAGACAGAGCATGAGCAGGGGAGATGCAGAGAGAGAGGGAGACACAGAATCTGAAGCAGGCTCCAGGCTCTGAGCTGGCTGTCAGCACAGAGCCCAATGCAGGGCTTGAACTCACGAACCGTGAGATCATGACCTGAGCCAAAGTCGGATGCTTAACTGAGCCACCCAGGTGCCCCTAAACTACATATATTTGAAGTGTAAAACTTGGTAATTGACATAAGTATGCCGCTATGGAACCACTGCTTCAAATACCAAGCATAACTGTCAGCTCCAAGTTTCCTCGTGCCTCATCATGATCCCGATCTCCTGTCCCTCCTCCCAATACTCATGTAACCACTGGTCTGCTATCATCATATATTTGTTCACATTTTCTAGAATTAATATAAACTAAATATACAGAATGTGTACCAGATACTTTCACTCAACATAACTTTTTTTTTTTTTATTTCATCCATAATGCTCTGTGTATCATAGTTCATTTCTTTCTACTGCTGGATAGTATTCCATTATATAGATAGCACAATTTATTTAATCTTCACCTACTGAAAGACATTTGAGTAGTCTCCAGTTTTGATGACTACAAGTGAAATCAGTGTGAATGTTCATAAGTCTTTTATTTTGGATAAACACCTGGAACTGGAATGTCGGGTGTAGGATACAGTGTATATTTAACTTCTTACAGAATTCAAAAACTGTTTCCAAAGTGGCTACACCATTCACATTCCCACCAGCAGGGTCTGAGGGTTCCAGATGTTTTACATCTTTTCCAAAACTTGATGGTGTTACTTATTTTTGTGAGAAAGAGGCAGAGGGGGAGAGAGAATCTAAAGCAGGCTCCATGCTAAGCGTGGATGCAGGGCTGCATCCTACCACCCTGGGATCATGACCTGAGCTGCAATCAAGAGTTGGATACAACTTACTGAGCCACCCAACCAACTAAGCCACTCAGGCACCCCAGTATTGTTTTAATTTTAGACATTTGCATAGCTGTGTGGTGGCATCTGTGGTTTTGCTTGACATTTTCCTAATGGCTGATGATGAAAATCTTTTCATATGCTTATTTGCCATCTATAGATCTTTGGTAAAATGTCTCCTTGAGTCTTTTGCCCACTAAAAAATTGGTTTCTTTTATTTTTGTTATTGAGTTCTGAAAGTTCTTCATATATTCTGTATAGAAGGTCATTGTCAGATGTTTGATTTATAAATATTTTCCCTATGGCTTCCTTTTCTTTCTTTTTTTTTTTTATTTTGAGAAACTGTGCAAGCAGGGGAGGGGCAGGGGCCGGGGAGAGAATCCTAAGCAGGTTCTATGCTGGAAGTGGAGCTGGATCTCATGAATTGTGAGGTCATGACCTAAGCCAAAATCAAGAGGTGGACGCTTAACTGACTGAACCACCAGCTGCCCCACCTTTTCAATCATTTAAGTCTTTCAAAGAGAAATTCTTAATTTTGGTGAAGTCCAAGTTTTTGTCTCATGAATTTCACTTTTGGTAGTGTGTTTAAGAAATCTTTGCCTGATGTAAGGTGAAAGAGATTTTCATATATTTTTTTCCTTTTAGTAATTTTTATTTTATATTTAGCTCTGTAATCTATTTTGAGTAAATTTTTATACTTGGTGTACCAGCTCTTGATTTAAGTACATTTGTTTCTGCATACAAATACCCAAATTTTCCAGCACCATTTACTGAAAAACCAACCTATTGCTTATTGAATTGCTTATTTACCTTTGTGGTAAATTAGTTGACCAAATGTGTATGGGTCTACATTTGTCCTCTATTTTTTTTCACTCCTTTGTCTACCTTGATGCCAGTACCACACAGTCTTGATTACTGTAGCTTTAAAAGCCTGGAGCTCAGACGGTATAAATCTCCAACATTTTTTCCTTTTTCCAGTTGTTTTAATATTCTAGGTTCTTTGCATTGCCATATGGATTTAGAATAGCAATTTTCACACACACACAAAAACCCTACTTGGGATTCTGATTTGGATTGAGTTAAATCTACCTCATTTTGTAGAGAATTTACATGTAAATAACACTGTATCACCCAACATGTGAACACAGTATGTCTCTCCATTTTTATGGGACTTTAATTTTTGTCAGCCTTGTTTTATAATTTTTAGTACACAGGTCTTAAGCATCTCTTCTCAGATTTGTCCCTGTATATTTCATATCTTTGATACTATTGAAGTTATTTTCACAGTTTTCAATTGTTGAAAGTACAGAGAACTACAATAACTTATGGATGATGATCTTGTACCTGGTAAACTTGCAAACTTACTTTTTAGTCCTAGTAACTTCATATTAAATTTTCTAATAGATATTATGTTATTTGTGAAAAGTATAGTTTTATTTCTTTACATTCAGTATGTCTTTCTTTTTCTTGCCACATTGCACAGGCGAGAGCATCCAGTGCAATGATGAATTTAAATGGTGAGAATGGACATCCTTTCCTTGTTCCTGATCTTATGGGGAATGCTTTCTCCTAAGTGTAAGTTTTATAGCTGCCTTTTATGAGCGCAACAAACTTCTATTCCTCCTTTGCTGAGAGTTTTTACTGGGAATAGATGGTGGATTTTGTTGAATGTTTTCTCGGCATCTTTTGAGGTGATCATTTGTGGTATATTTTTTTTTAGTCTTTTATATATATATATTTTTTTAATGTTTTATTTATTTCTAGGAGAGAGAGAGAGACAGACAGACAGCGTGAGCAGGGGAGGGTCAGAGAGAGAGGGAGTCACAGAGTCTGAAACAGGCTCCAGGCTCTGAGCTGGCAGTCAGCACAGAGCCCAATGCGGGGCTCGAACCCACGAACCGCGAGATCATGACCTAAGCGAAAGTCGGACGCTCAACTGGCTAAGCCACCCAGGCGCCCCTTTTATATTTTTTTTAATTTTCATTTTAGTTAACATACAGTGTTACATTAGTTTCAGGTGTACAATATAGTTATTTAACAATTCCGTATGTCATTCTGTGCTCATCTTGACAAGTGCAGTCCTTTTTTTAAGTTTCTTAGTTAACGTACTAATACTGGTTTCAGGAGTAGACTTTAATGATCCATCACTTACATACAACACTTAGTGCTCATCACAAGTGCCCTCCATACCCATCACCCATTTAGACCATCTCCCACTCACCTCCCCTCTGATAACTCTCAGTTTGTTCCCTAAAGTTAATAGTCTCTCTGATGGTTTGCCTCCTGCCCCCTTTTTTTTCTTCCTTCCCCTATGTTCATCTGTTTTGTTTCTTAAATTCCACATATGAGGTGAATGACGCTGATTTTCCTGTTGTTAAATCAGGCTTGTATTTTTGTTAATGTGATGCACTGACCTTATTCAGGTTTCACCAGTTTACCTTCAATCTTTTGTGTGTGTGGTGTAGGTTTATTTAGTTCTATGAAATTTTATCCCCTGTACATTCCTGTAACTGCCACTATAATCAAAGACATAGAACAGTCCCTTCACAGGGATCC